AATATCATGTATATAAGCATAATAAGGAAAAATCAAATATTAGCAGAATTCTGGATTAGATAACATCAGCCTTAAGAAATTTTCTTGTGCCTCAAGGTAGCAGAATATTGAATATCACAACTCTGACAAACATAATGATCCAAAGCCTTTCCAGGGCTCCAGAGTGATCCCTGATGCCCACTTAGCTGATATGATCATGGCCTGATTTTCAGAGGTGCTGACTATATTCAGCTTCCATTGACTTTATCCACTGATGTGCATGCTCAGCACTTCTAAAATATCAAATTTCTGAAACCTAGTTCTGCTTTTTTTTTTAGCCCTTCCTGGACATGAATAATTTGATTTTAAATTTATTACTGTTTCATGCATATACAAGCCGCCACTGGCCTTCCCAGATCTTTGCATTACACAGACACGCATATAATAATAAGGAATTCCACATCTGAAAGATGATTATTAGAAGAAACATTATTCTGGGAATATTTTTTTAAAGATTATTAAACTCTTCCTGGGAAAATTAATTAGGTCCAGTACAAACCACTAAAATCAAAGGTATTTTTACCATCAGTCTCGCTGAAAGTACATCCAACTCTCTAGGCATTGATCCAGATACAACTAAATCAATAAGAATCTTTCAATTGGCTTTCCATTAGGCATTAAGCCCAAGACATGTAAAGTATTCAAAAGAAAGTAACAAATTCATTTATCTTAAGACTCTGCTGGTTTTTCTCTGGTATGCGTAAACAGAGAAGTCTGATCCTCACTTGAGTTTTACTATTTCTGTTCACTTGAGGGAAGTCCATTATACTTGCATAAATTAAAAGTATCCATATATTATGTATATGTACAATAGAATCTAACAGAGTCAACTATTAAAAGCCTGGTGCAGAAGAATACTGCATATGTATAACTGAGAGACAGAGGGAGGGGAGCAGGAAATAATAGTCCTTTTAAGTTTGCCAAAAGTTCCAAAAAATGAGTAGTAAAAAAGTTGAGAGGGGACTTTTGCATAATTCTCCATTAACTTTAAGCTGAAAATCAAGCCCCTTTGATATATTTTTTTTTTTTACACAAAAGTCATTTTAACAATGAAAGATGAAAACATGGCATAATTTATATTTAAAACAATATTTAAAAATCATTGAAGTCTATTGATGGAAATCTATCCTTCTTGTCTTCATTAGTAGAGCAAATACTACTTGTGCCACAAAAGAGAATGCCAGTTCCCTATGCTAACGGCATTGCCAGAAAGAGCACTGTAACAGGATTTCTTAGCCCTTTGAGGCAATATCTTTCTCTAACTTCACTTTGTTCCTCACCATAGAAAAGCTGGAAACTTGAGGCAGCAACAGCACAGTGCCTGTGGAAGATGATGACACACACATATCATATATATATGTGTGTGTGTTGTGTGTGTGTATACATACACACTTTTCTGTCCAATGACTTGGGAGAAGAACAGAGGTAGGAACAGGAATCACTGACAGAATTACCTAAGGGCTTTAGAAGTCAATGAAAAAGCCAAGCACAGAAGCGCACATGGTGATTAACCAAACACCGTGTGAACAAGCTGCCGCCTTTTTCTGTTTGGCATGGAGATGGATGCAAGCCATGCCAAGGAAAGGGGAAAAAAAGGATGATTAGAGTAATTCTCAGAGCTAACTGACCTTCTTTAATCTGTCAACAGGAGAAGGAAGTGGCAGTAGACTTTTAGGCATGATATCTATTTCCTCTTGAACTAGATCACCCAGCAGCGACTGCACAGGAGACCAATTCCGTAACAGAAGTCAAGCGATTGCCGTGAAAACTAATTGCTGCGTCTCTGGGTGACTAAGTCATATTAACATCCCTTTCTTGAAGCACGTGGATGCATATATATCATACACACAACCAGTCCTTTATATCTAGGCTGCTAGAGTACAGGTGGAGTTTTATAATAATCTATCTTGGAATTTAAAATATTTGCACTGGAACTGTTAAGCATCTGGTAGCAATGCAGATTACACATTCTTTAAAATGTTTCTCATATTAACAATGGTTATTTGGGGAGGTTAAATGATTACTTTAAATAAATGTGTTCCTAACCTAACACTAAAGCTGTGATTCAGATGATCAAGTAGCAATTTTCAAAATCAGAATTGTTGTGAGCTTGAGTTCATTATTAGGCTTACATCGTCTTTAAGTAAACAGAACAATAAAGAGGGCAAGCACACATTGAAGTACCATAATCAAACTTGTAATTTCCTCTTCCATTTCTAGAATGAAGAAGGTTAAGAGCAAGCTACCTCATAGCTCTGTTCTGAAATGTCCCAAACAACCCTCCCCAACATGCTAGTGAGGACCATGATCTAAATTTTTTTTAACTCAAAGCAATAGTTCCAAACATTCTTTGCCACCGTTCTGCTGAAAATACACTTAAAACCCATCCTTACACATCTGTCGCAAATTTTGTCACTGGGAAGGATCTGAGTGATTAGTGACCTCCTCGGTAAAATGAAAGCTCAGTAACAAAAGAACCAGTTTCTATCGTACTGTAAAACTGAATGCTAGCATAATTAAATCACAACCATATCCTTGTTATAATGTTATAGTTGTTATAACACAGATAAGTTATCCGTGCACAGTGCATCTCAATGTACACAGGCATTTATTGCTCATGCATATTCATTATAAAAACAGGTGGGTGGGTGCATGCAAAAGAACATGCAGAATTAGACTCTTCCCTCCTTCCAGTTTTTCCTCCTTCCACTATTCACAGCTTTTGCATGTTTCTGGTTATCTGGTAGATAAGACATTCTTAGTGGCACCTTAACATTGGTGCAAGAAGGAAGTTTTGAATGACACAACTCTTATTACAGCCAGTTTAACACAGTAGCTGCCAATATTGAAAAACTTCAATCCAATAAACTGTTTTTCAAATATAACATGTACATAGGCCTCTCTGTTTCTATGTTCTTCTTCATTTTTATAACCGTGATGTTTCACAATATCTTGCTGAGCTAAAATAGATCTCAGGTAAAATTCTCAGAAGTGCCTACAGTTCCACTGACTTTAATAAGATATATGTTCTTTGGTACCATGAATGCTTTTGAAAATACTGCCTTTTCAACTTCCTTTTAAATACTATCCTTATTTGAAATAGATTCTGGGAAATTATATCCCAGCAGTTTTCCAAGCTTTATCTAACATTGACAACCCTTAAAAAAAATCCTTGCCAGATGTCTTAGGATTTCAGGTCAATCCCTTCGTATCTCCACTCTAGAGAGAGACTACACTGAAGCAGATCTCAGAAGGTCGGACCTTGTTCCGGTGAAATTTCTGGACAGTTACCACAGATTTTGCTCTGAAGCAGAGCAGGCATCAGGGAGGTTCCCAAAGTCTCTCGCAAAGACAATAGGAGGAGGCCAGGATCACCTCACAGAGCGTGATGACAGAAGGCCTTTTGCCACTTCACAGAAATTTCAAAAGACCAGTAAAGTATAATTTATGATTTTCCCCATCCTTATTAAGCTGGTAGTGTTTCTGACCATAGAAAACACTCAATTACTCTTTTATTTTTACCATCTGTTGCTACAGCATCGGTATAAGAAAGTTATTTGCAAAAAAAAACCCCCAAACACTTATGATCAGGCAATAATTTTTGATCTCCAACTCATAATTAATGAACCCAGTGTTTGTTTTAAAATGGAAAAATCAAGGCTAGACAGAAGATTGCACGAATATTATGATTTTGACAGACTTCAAGTATAGTAAAACTACAAGGAAAACATTCCTTAATATGCTAATGAAAAAGAAAACACTGTAAGAAGAAAGTAACACTGTTGACCACAGCGGGTGAATCTGGTCTCAGATTGCAAAGAAAAGGGCAAATGATGACTAGGAACCTGATGTTAGATGAGGCTTTGGAAAGCAAATTTTAAAATTCTCTTCAGCAACACAATACTTGCCTTGAAAAATGTAGGCTTTCAGTTTTTCTGGCACCTGGGAGAAGTTGCTTTGTTCACATTTTTAAATTAAGATTATACAATACCAGCCAGCCGTTTTGTCCGTGTGTTTCAATGTAAAAGAAGGGTATAGACAACCTCTGAATTTTATGTAAGGCCTTCTTTCTTTGTTTATTTACTCAAGCCAGTAAATTAAAAAAAAAAAAAATCACATTTGTCCACACTGCAAGAGTGCCTTTACAGAAATAAGGAGCCTGGGAAGATTGAATACCATAATTCTCTCTAATTTTGAAAATGATCACTGCTGAATGTTTTCTGAGGGTAAAAGTGTAATTGGTTATAGATCAATAAGCAATTTCATTCAAAAGGAACTCTTCTGTTCCTGAAAGTAGAGAGATTCTTAAATCAAAATCAAACTAATACATTAAAAAAGTTGGGACTAATCTAAACAACAAAATTTTATACTGCCCTAGTTATGTTTATCTCAACTGATCATTTATTTATGTTGCCATAAACATCCAGATGCTTTCAATTTTGATTACTAGTTATTTGCTTTAAGGCAGCTGAAATTACTTTTTTAGACCTCCTAGCTTGACAATCTTGCTTTCTGCTTAAGATTTATCATCACAAAGGAATGGTGAAATCAGAGGATAAATTCTAGTAGTAACAATAAGCACAGTCAATTGTGATACACTAATTCCCCCAGCAGGTACCAGATTAAAGCCCCCAGGATTAGCGTACCTTCCACTAACATTGCTAAATCCTGTTTTATATAACTGGATTGCAGAAAACTGCTGTATCTGTACAGGTATCATGGTATGATTTTTAATTGAAAAGCCATACAAAGTAGCACTGTATAAAACAAAAGGCAAATTGAGAATGTCTCGAGACCCTGTGCAGTATTGTATGTAATAAGCCATTATCATTTAGTTCACTACTGACCCTAAAAGATTCATTAACAAACTGCTTTATTTACATTAAAATAAATAAATTAAATTACACAAATGGAAGAACAAACAAGACAAGAAGAAATATGCATTTGTTAATAATACTTACGATATGCAGCTCTAAATAATCTCCGAGCCCAGTAGAACTGTCCACTCGTACCAACACAGCTTCTTTTTGAACAGTACTAAACCCTATTGCCAGTCTGTCCGCACGAGTGCTTGGCCGATCATTAGGAGGCCATGTGTAAGTGATCTGTCCACCACCTTTGCTAAAGATATACGTTGTTCCCGCTGCAAAACAGAAATAAATATAATTAGCTCACTTGCCCCAGTGCAAATCCGCATGTAAATCATATGCTCTACAAAAATCAAGATGTTCTCATATAGCAAATGGATTCATAGAAACAAACAAGACTATATTTCAACATGAAGGGGTCTTTAGCTCTGAAAATTTGCAGCAAGCGAAATATTAGTGCTTTTTATATAGTGCAATCAAGACAGAATATAACATAATTGCATATGCAGTGACTTAAAATACCATAGCTCTGATTCAGAAGTGCCTATCTATTCAAGACAGTTCTTAAGCATATGCTTGAAGAACATGTTTCTGTGATGTGCAGAAGAGGGATGAGTTGAACCAAACGCTTTCCCAAACTGGGCCTATGTGGAGAAGAAATCAAGTAATCCCAGTCATCTTATGACTGACAAAAAAAATGCAGCTCCTCATTTACCCAACAAAAATGATATGCACTATATGATACATCATCGTGCCCAGCGAAGCAAGACATTAACAAATACATTCAGATAAGACTTTTACAGATCTGAGGTTTATCAGCTTGTGACAGATGGGGATAACAAATGGAAGCATACTTTACTTGTCATGTCAGGACAAAAAGATATCAGTCTACCATCTAAGTAAGCAATGGCTTATTTGCATAATGCTCAATGTGTAACTTATAAAAGTGGAAATCTCTGCACATTATATCCAGTGTGCACTTACAAAATCTATAATCTGTTTTAAACAAGTGTTCTAATCTAAAACCACTTAGCACTCAGGTGCTTAACTTCGTCACCAGCATATTTCCTCTGAACTAAAATAGCACCATATCCGGACATTTTCCATTTAAAACTTGTATCTTAACAACAGCATTTAGCAGGCAAATTGTGCATGCACGATGGTCTTCCATTTGCAAAGCCACTACAAGCTGTCCACTTCTTTTCTATGAAGACAGGTCGAGCTTAGGGGGATATGTCAGAACATTGTAAATACAGATGTCTAGTTTTACTCGCTGTTCTAAGCTGGCTCACTGTGTGGCTACACTCAATTTTATTAAATGTAATTCAGTTTATTCCACCCAATACTCTCACTACATAATGCCCATGTCCACCTAAGGAGATAGTGCATAACAACATAACTGTAATTTTCTTACTTTCTTTCAAAATTGATGAAAAATGCTGTGAGCATACAAAAGGATCTAAAATCCCTTGACCATGTAGACTTCTAAAGACAAAAACAAGAAGGGCTGCATAGTTACACCACTCCTTCGACTTCTAAATGTCTCAAAATCTTACTCTACTGCTGAGCGAGACTGCTTTGTGTCAGTCTCAAAGCAAAAAGGTCACCTGGTCTTTTTGAAAAGATATCCTGTATTTATTTCTAACATCACTTTTCCTTTATGGAAGTACGTACCTACCCATTAGTTTTTTTCCAGTACTATCAATTTGTAATATGTTATGCACTGTGCATAGCACTTAAAAAACTGTAAAGCTCATTTTAAATCAACAAACTTGCAGGATTGCACTGTGCTTCAAATAGATCTTTTGGCTTTTCTCTTGATGGCAAAATACCAACCTGCATGTGTTTTAGAAAACTTGTCAACTCTCTTTAGCAAAGACAAACACAATAACAGATCTGATATCTAAGGTTTCACTTAACACTCCAAGTGAAATCAGGGTTTATCATCATTGCAAAGAGTTGTGCAAAAGTAGTGAAGGTAGGGGCTGTGCCTTAAAAAAGCTTGGTAATGGACATGGGCGAATGGTGTCTGGTTTAGGAATGTGTGTGACAAAAGCCTAATCTCCTGCTCTCCCACCCTTGCTTTCCTCATATGCAGTGCTCTGAAATGCACAATAATCTGTTGCATGCTATTCAGTAATGACAGTTGAATCTCCAGTTCTAGTACATCCCAACCCAAAGATACACGAGACAGGTAATATCACTCTTGATGGTCCCCAAGTTCTCCTCTTTGCTGCTAGTGTTGACTTCAAATCTTGAGCCAATTGAGAAGTGACAGAGTTTGGACCTTCATACAGTATATGTCACATTGGTGTCTGTAGTGAAAGGATTTATTCTGTGTTGATGAAAAACTGAGGGCTTGATCCAAAGCTCATTAAAAACAGTGACAGCCTTTCTCTTAACTTCATAAAACATTGTGTCAGGTCATGAATGAGGTTCTTATAAGTAACAAAAATGAGAAGGCTAAGAAAAAACAGCTCCTTACACCTCAATGTCACAGATGAAACTGTTAGAATAGTACGTAAGATTTAAGTGGGAGTGCATAATTCTCCTTTTCTTGGTTGTAACAGATGTGTTTACCCAATATAGAAGACAAAGACAGAGCCTGCCAAGTGATGGTGGATTCATACTGAGTACAATGACCCAGAAGTAAGTCTCCAGATCTGAACAATGAGAGACTCTGTTGTTCCGATTCAGAGTGAATCTCTGTTGCAGTTTTTTGATAAATACTGGCCTTCAAATAAACCAATGAAGAGCAATTCATTCCGTATTGCTGCCGCATTGAAGCCAAGGTCAACGTCAGCAGGGCTGGATAAATCTAGCTGTAAATCTCAAACTACGTAGAATCAACATCAAAGTTAAAAAATTATCTTTTATCCACAATAACATGTGGCTTATGTTTTTTTATGGCACAGCTTTCCCTTCTTTATAACTGCCCATTTTGTAGCTCTTCAAACAAACTGCATGTCTGGTAACAGGCTAATTAATCCAAGCTGATGAATACAGATCTGCCTCTGTCTAAGCTGTACAGGGAGTCACGTTCTTTGAATTTCCTGTATTAATTATGAAAAAAAATGGGTCGGAAGCCATTTGAGAATAGATCCTCTAATGTTTATATTTCAAGAAAGACAAATATAATAATGTAAAATTTATTACTCTGGGATTGATCTCAGCTTATAGTCTGACCTCCCATTAACTATTAAAAGCTAGAAACTGAGCAGTTGTTTGAAACCACCCTGCTCACTATCAATTCTGGATCTGTTAAGAAACAACAGAGGAAACCCAATTCTCTTGCTCCATAAAGGCTTTTATGCTCTCTGACAGACCTTATAATGTCTCCGCCGTTCTTTCAGAACATTGTCACTAAAAACCAGTCATCTTCCTTCTCTCTCTTAGCTTATGGCACTGTGTTGTTTGGGGTTTATCATCTCAAGAGAATTGAAAGCAGCAGAATTAGAATGTCAAGAATAGCAATGCCATCAGCACAGTACTTGTAAGTAGGCAACTTTGTAACATGCCAGTTATATCTCTCAGCCACAGAATTTACTGCATAATTCCTTATGCGTCCATGCATCTACACAATGTTTAGGAAAAATGTCCATACAGCTCTTTGAAATTCTTAACCGTGAAAGCATGGTTCCTATTGTAACAAACTGCCAGTGGTCAAGATACAGTAATGTTTTTTAATGGCCTGGGTCTCTCAAGTCCTATTTGTTTGTAAAATTCATCTTTATGAAATAGTACATTCATTTCAGCACAGCCTGGCAGCAACTCAAGGACATTTGCTTACCTATACAGTATTAAGCAGATAAATATTTTGTTTAGTACCCATTTACTGTATCTATTACTGTGTATGACTGCAAAGCTTTTCAATATTTATTGCTCTGAAGTCACATCTGATGTAGTTTAATAATTTGCTCAAATCAACAACAAATCAACAGCTTTCTACCTTCCTCATGTTCATCCCAATTCTGTGTTTAAGGTATATTGCACTGTGGGGTAATGTACAAAATTCCATTCTTCTCATATATTGTTAGTAACTTAATGTTTATTTTCAACATTCACATCAGGTTTCAGATGCCAATTAAGTGAAAGCAATGGTTTGACTGAGCCCTGGACCCCAATGAACTATGATTCCATCACATTCTCTAGCTGAAAAACTAAAGACTGAAGCCTGTAAACTTTAATAATGAAAACTATTAGCTGCCCTTTCATTAACAGAAAAGCAATTTTTAACTATTATAAAAAATATGAAGGGTAAGCATTGCTGGTTATAACAAGAAATTGCTAAATAATGTAATTTTCTTCCTTCTGTATGTATGTTATCAGTACTTTACTTCATTCTGGGCTAGAATGTGAACCTTCTTATTCCCTCTGGTAAGTAATTACTTGCATTGATAAACCTGCTGAATCCAGTGAGACTATTTGTGCAGGCTATTATTAATTACCAAGAGTGAAGAATTTACAATATGAATATATATATACACACACACATTTGCCCAAACATCTATATGGAGGCATTAATCACACTTGCTATGTTCAGGGGAGCATATAAATCTCAATACTTCTTTTTACATTTCCATCCATGTATTTTCATCCTGCCCAAGCTGAAGCTCTGGAAAGGTACACAAAATTTCCATACGTAGGTTTGTACAGATTTTCTAAGGTAGGTAAAGAAAGGAATGGTTTAACTCTGAAACGTGGTATACCGGGGGAGAGAGGGGGGTGTTTCAAAATAATCAGTTTGGTGGATTAAAAACCAGCTCTTCCATGTGTTTCTTCTTAGACTGTGATGTGTTATTAATTATTTAAATAGAACAGAGAATATATGCCACAGGCTTGAGGTGAGGAGGGAATGGCCATTAGGGTTAACCATGGGAAGAAGATGGGAAGAGCTGCTGGAAGAAATGTTTCAAACTAAAGATCAGATTCAACTGAAGACTTCCTGAAGGCATCCTGGTACATTCTCTCCCACTAATCTGGGCAGGAGCCTGAATATGGCTTGTAACTGCTTTGCTGCAACAACGTCAGGCTTCTCTAAGTACAGTCTATTTAACAGCAGAGGAGGTGTATTGGATGGGGAAAGAGAAAATTTTCAAATGGATCATTGCCTGTAGCTCTCCAAAAGCTTGAGCCACAGAGGAAAGAATGGAGAAATGTCTCATTTTCTGGCCAGGTTCCTCTTAGACTCGTGGGTAATAGGGTCTAGGAGTGTATGTATGACGCTCCTTTGACCACACTCAGTTTGGCAATCCTAAAAGCGTCATAGTTTTCC